CTGGGGGCAGATCTGCCTTGGCTCACACAGATCTGCCCCAGTGAGGGGCTTGTGGCTAGCTGCAGGAGCTGACCATCGACAAGAGACATGTGGGCCTTGTGCCAGGGCTCACAAGCTCCCCTGGTTTGGCTCTGGGGTTATGGCTGGGAATCTTTGAGTGCTTCATGGCATGGAATTAGGATCCCCTCTATGGCCGTGTATTTTCTGTGGTGCTTCGTCCTCTTATGGGTAGTGGGAAGTTGTGGGGAAGTTGTGCCCCAAAATTTGAGTGTGGTTGTGAAATGCCAAATTACTTCTGTGACACAGAAACTGATGCTGGACAGTTGACTTGGCATTTAGTTCTGATGCCTGACAGGGGCAGATGCCTGATGTGTATTCCATCCAGCATCCCTTTCAGCATGGGCTGTCCTGCCACCTACCCCACCACTGGGAGTGAGTGGAAAATAAATGATTAAAGGTCATGAGAACAAGGCCAAGCCAAGCTTGTCTCAGCTTCTTTCCCCAGTATCCCTAATCCCACCCAACTAATCATTTGGATACACTGACACCCTGTTGACTCAAAAGACAGCCACTAGCTCTTGATACCTGCATGGGATGATCCCATCCTTTACCTCGTATCACATGCTGTGCTTTATCCCCAGCTATTTCTTCAGACAACATGCACCAGTCGCTCTTCATGTCTGCCCTGTCCGCCCACCCCGACCGCTCCCTGTCCCTGTGCTGGGAGCAGCACTGCAAGCTGCTGCCAGGGGTGGCTGGCATCACAGCAGCCACGGTGGCCAAGTGGACCACTGATGAGGTGAGGTGTTTGGACAGCTCTGTGCTGGCCCCTGATGTGCTGGGAGTGCCCTGCCTGGCTGTGCAGCACCATGGCACATGCACCAGGCACTTCAGTGGCCACGTCCCTGGGCTAGCAAAGAGGGGTCTGCCAGACATGTTGTCAGCTTTTCTCACTTTCTTGGGCAGCCATGGTGACCCCTGTTAAGGCCTGAGTAGGTGGAGGAGCTCTGGCACCAGCCCCAGTAGCTCCTGCCTGCTCTCAGGCACTGGCACAGGCTGCCCTGGGCAGTGGTGGAATCACCATCCCTGGAAATGTTCAAAAGGTTTGTGGATGTGGCACCTGGGGACATGGGCTAGTGGTGGCCTTGGCAGTGCTGGTCAGTGGTTGGCCTCAATGATCTCAGAGGGCTCTGCCAACCTAAACAATCCCTTGATGTTCCCATTCCCCTCCCTGTGCCCCTCTCAGGCCAGTGCCTGTGCCCAGGGCCAGGGGTGGGCCCTGACATGGGAGAGCAAAGCAACTGCAGCCTCTGCCCCAAGAGCCCCATGGCACCTTGCAGGGCTCAAAACAGGAGGATGTGGGCTCAGGGGGGCCTCCAGCCAGAAACATTGCTCTGTCTTGACATTTCTCTCATTTATTCCAAGGTTTTTAGCTTTGTGCAGACTCTGACGGGCTGTGAGGACCAAGCCAAGCTCTTCAAGGATGAGGTGAGAAGGGCTGGCAGATGAGAGCAGGTGGTCAAGGACAGCTGTTTGCCACCAGGGCCAGGAGGAATTGGCCAGTGGCCTTCCTGTAGTGGCTTGTTGCTGGATGCTGAGGCCACATCCAGCACCTGGCAGTGGTCCTGCCCTGCAGTCCCACTGCATGGGAGTGTGCAGCCATCTGGCTGTGCCCATATGGGGCAGGAGGGGAGCTGCTGACCCCCAGGGAGCTGTGCTGCTCTGTTCTCCCAGCATGGGAGAACAGGGCCCCCCTGAGGGGATGCAGATGTGGGGCAGGAGGAGGATGGTTCTGCCTTGTGAGAGCACCATTGCCTCCTGAGGGGAGCTGCTCCTTCTCACTCTCTCTTCCTTCCCCCTCTGCCCCTCTGACCAGCACAGCAGTTGGGTGGCACTGCTGCCTGTCAGGGTCGGTTTTTTTTGGACCCTCTGTGAGCAGACATGTGGGGTGGCTCAGACACCTGGGGCTGATCCTGGGTGCTCTGGGTACAACCACTGTACAATTCCCTATCTGGGAATGGCCCCTGTGCTTTAAGGGTGCTCAGGCAGGCAAAGCTGAGCCGGGGCAGTCCCTGAACACGGGTGCTGGTCCCTGGAGCGGGGAATGGATGGCTGCCTGCCCAGAGCAGGTTGTGATGGCTCTGTGCTGTGCCCATGGGGCTCTCCAGCACAGAATCCCAATCTGGCTACAGTGTGAGCTCCTGGCATGGCCCCTGGAAGGGCTTCTCCCCCTCTGCCCTGTTCCTGGGCACATGAGCTGCCAGCTGGGGTTTCCCCTGGGCAGTGTGGGAGTGCTGTAGGTGGCCCCTGCCCTGCTCCCTGGGGTCATGTGTGGCTTCTGCCCAGGTCATGCTGGTGCTGGCTGTCCCCAGGAATGCCAGCCCATGTTTGCAGTGAGTGCCTTTGTCCCTGCTCTCCTCCCCAGATGATCGATGGCGAGGCGTTCCTCTTGCTGACGCAGGCTGACATCGTCAAGATTATGAGTGTCAAGCTGGGCCCAGCACTCAAGATCTACAATGCCATCCTCATGTTCAAGAATGCTGATGACACCTTGAAGTGACTTCTCTTGGCCCAACGGGGACAGTCCCTCATCACTGGTGCTGCCAAACTGTCTGGTCAGGACAGAGATTCCCCCAGCCGACCGCAGCTTGTCACGTCCTGCTCGTGTCCTCCCACGATGCCACATCTCCACTCTCCCACCAATCCATCTCCCATCCTCTTCCTTCCATGCTGCCCTTCTGCAGCGCTGGGCCCAGGCTGGCCCCAGGCCTCGGGGGCGGTTGCAGGGAAGGAGCGTGGACGTGGCCCTGCCCCATCTTAGCGCCACAGTTCCCCCCACGTCCTGCTGTGCCTGCCCTGTGTAGGGCATGCTGAGGCCAGGGGAGCACTGTGCAGGGTGTCACCGTGGGGGGCTGGCACCTACTCCAGTCACCCAGGCAGGGGAAGGGGACTGCCTGCATACATGCTCATACTTGCTTAAAGGCTGCTCTTGCCTTTGCTCAGCAGCTGAGGGAGATTTGGGGTTTTTCCCTCTCTGTGATCCTCTGGGGGTACTTGTGCTAACACCGTTTCCAAGGGACGTTCAAGGGACGTTCTTGAGGAGTTTCTGCTCATTTTGCCTTTTTCTCTGAATTCTTTTGACTTTCCCTTTATAAGGCTGGTTGATGACTGCTTTGCCCCTGCACTGCATTGCAAACCAGTGGCCACCTCTTGTCCCTTCACTGAGCAGCTGTCCTGGCTGCTGCTCTGCCCATGACCAGCGCCTGTGCTTTATTCCTTTTTCCTGGAATGCAGCAGCCCCAGAGCCCTGCCAGGGCTGGCTGGCTGGGTGCAGAAAAGGCTCCATTTCTTCTTGAGTTTCAGACTCTTTTGTCCAGCACTTCTCTGGGAGAAAGGATGCTTGGATTGCATCTATTCAAGAGTCATCTACAAAGGAAGTTGGGCCCTCTTTGGTCCTTGTATTAGGAGCAAGGCCTTCTTTAGAGTGGAGACAGCTGCCAAGGACAAGAAGCATCCATTGCTCCAGCAGGCTGATCCACAGTTGCTTCTGATGGCATTCCTGAGTTGGCTGAGTCGATTCTGCCAAGCTGCCTTCTCCCCCCTCTTTGCCCTCACAAGGCATCCAGGTTTTGCTGTCTGAAGAGCAGGATCTTCTGCTGTCCCTGGATCCCTTACCTGCAGAGCTAAAAGAAATCTAGCACTTAGTTGCTTTGTTTCTGTCCTTTTCAGAAGATAGCACCTTTCCAACAGGACCACAGGCAGTTTGGGAATGCTCTTGTAACGTTGTCCCTTTTAATGGAGGAGGGACCAAAGAGCTGCAGAGCCAGAAAAACCAACATTCCTGGGGGTCCTGGCAGAGTCCCAGCAGTTTCTGATAAGCCCCTGTGCCTCCTGGCAGTCCCCACACTGCTCTCCATGGTCCATCACCCTGCATGCCTGATGTGGGATCTGTTGCAGCAGGGGGTGGCCGTGCAGTGCTGGAGGACAGCCACCTGCCCTGGGACCCAGTCCCAGGTCCACTTCCTTTGCCATTCCCAACAATGACATTCCAGTAATAAAACAATTTCCTCCTTTTCCCACTGCCCAAAGACAGGGGTGCAGAGATGTGAGCAAGTGCACCAGCAATGTGTCCTGGAGTAGCGCTGCCTTGGGAGCCACTGTCACATCTGGGTCAACCTGTTTGAGGCTTCCCATGGAAATGTAGCATTTTGAATCTATTATTGAATATTTGGGGTCATGTCTGACCTGCTCTTGAAACATCTGCTGCTTGCTCTTCACGCAGGACTTGCAACTTGTCCATGTCTTTGTTTTGTCATTGCTTGGGTTTGATTTAGGCAGCTTTCCCCCTCCTTTCCTTTTTTATGTCCTTGTATCTCTTCAAGCACTGCAGCTTGGCCAGCTGTGGAGAGAGAGACTGGGAGCTGTGTCCCTGGGTCCCAGAGTCACTGCTTGAGCCACCCTTCATCTGCAGGAAGTGGTGTGGAAGTTGGTCTCTTCAGCTGATGGAGAGTCTCTTTCTGGGCCACTGTATGCTGGGGGAGGAGCCCTGGGACTTTCAGCCCAGGCTGTGAATGGTGCTGAGACTTTTCCAGGTGTGATCTGGAATGAAAAGGCTCCCTCACACTGGACACAGCCTTTGAGCTGGCAAGGACCCATCTTAGGAAAGCATCCTGTTCTCATCTGCTGTATTCCCATGTGTGAAGTCGTTCCTCCTGCTGGGGAAGGGACTGAGCACTGTCCCAGGGTGCTGGGAGAGGAGCTGCTGCCCAGGCATCAGATCTGAAACTACTGTGAAGGAGGGAGAGCCTTGTGTCTCACAGGGCTGCCTGGGAGAGCAGAGGTGGCGAGGAGCTCAGAAGATCCTGCTGAAGGGGAAGAGGAGCCATGAGCCAAGCCCTGGCTGTCCCCCAGGGCTGGGTACAACCAGCACCACTGGCCCTTGCTCTGCTGTTGGGTGCAGCTGAGCCGTGCTCTGCCTGGACACCAGCCACACAGGCAGAGGTGCATCCCCACACTGCCAGCCAGGCAGCGCCCGCCCTGCGCTCTCCTCACCTCCCTCTTAAAAACAGACGTGACCTAGAGCGGACTGCCAGGGTGCTGCCCCTTCGGCTGGCTGCAGAGCTGGAGCCCAGCTCCCCACTGGGTCTGAGCTCTGTGCTGGGAACAGCAGTGCCAGGAAGGGTGATGGGAGGCTGTGTCACACACCTGCTGAATTGAGCATCACTTCCTCAGCCTCTCAGGCTGATGTACCTGTTGGGGTACAAAGCTGCTGGACTTGTCTGGGTGAGGGAGTTACAGGGTTTGTAGGTGGTCAAGGGCTATTTACTGTTAAAACTTACAACCTTCTGTGTCCTTTAAAAACAAACCCAAAGCGTTGTGTACGTGTGGATGGGTGATTGTGGGAGTACCCTGACACCATTCCCCTGCTGTTGGTGTGTTGCTGTTTTAGGGTGGGGGTCTCTGAGGCTGTGGAGTCAGCAGACACCCATCCCAGGGTCTCATGTGATGTGTCCTCTGTGAGCAGTTGTCCCTGGTCCCAGCAGGGAGGGCAAGAGAAGGAAGGTTTGCTGCACCCCTGGCCTTGGTAGGTCCTTCATCCCCACAGAGCACTGAGTGGGAGTCCTCCCTCAGGGACTGTCAAAGACAGCTGTGACCAAGGCAGAAGCACCAAAGTTTTCTGTCCTTCCCCTGTTGCCTGACCATATTCCTCACAGGGACATTCAGTGCCGTGTCACTAAGAGCCAGAGAGGACAGTGGGCTGGGTCTGGCCCACAGGTTCCCCTCTGGGGCCTTTCTGAGAGATGCGACTGCAGCCAGCATTTCTAAGTCAATGAAGAATTCTTCAAGTCGAATGTTTTTCTGAGTGGAGGTCCCCAGGTCTCTGTTTCTGCCATTCCTGCCCCTGCAGCTGGTGTTGGCAGGGCTTAGCTGGAACCATGGGAGAAGTCCCACTACATGCTCCAGCCTCAGCTATGGGGTGTCTTCTGGGGAGGCTGGTCTGTGCCTGACTCTGGGTGCGTGGGAGCAGTTGGAGCCTCTTGGGAAACCATGTCCTCCTCCTCGTGGAAATGGGCAGCACTGGGACAGTGCAAGCCAAGGTCTCCATTTTCAGGAGAGCAGCCAGCCTGGAGCTCAGCAGGGAGTGCGGCTGTGCCTGCCCACCAGAGCACAGCCGCCTGCCCTCGCCTTCCTCCGCTGCTTTCCATGGCGATCACAAGCACTTTCAGAAGAGAAAAGCACCCTCCAAATGGTGTAGGAGGGCTGGGGGCTTAGGGCAGCTGCTGCCTGCAGGGGCACATCTGGGCCTGTGGTGCAATGAGGGCGTTGGAGGAGGGAGCCAGCAGAGGGGTGTGACTTTGGCACTGGCGTTCTTCGCTCCTCATCCTCCAGGAGAGCTCCTCAGTGTAGAGAGGGAAAGACAGGAGGGCTGCAGTTTGGCTTCCTTCTTCCAGCCCAGCCTTTCCCTCTGGGGCCTGAGGCTCACTTGTCCTTGGAGGAAGAAATAGGGACCATATTATGGAGGGAGTGTGATTATGATAACAAAAGCTTTTTTGCACTTTCATTCATTTTGCACTCTTTCTTAATTTCTTTTTTTCTGTGTTTTTGATATCGGCGCCTCCTCTCTGTGTTTTCATAATGAAAATCCTTCTGTTGTAGCCAGTGCAGCTATTCTGGAACTGTGTGTCCTGAATGTACAGAGATATAAAGGCTCTATATATATAAATTTATAGTGCTACAAAAGTAAATTTATATATATAGATGATGGTGTGATGTGTTTTGTCAGTGTTTTAAAATAATAAACGAATGTGAGCAACAGAGGCCTGTGAAGCAGGAGTGGTCACTGTGCTGTGGGACCAGTCACTGCAGGGCTGGAGCTGTCACTGTGCCACAGGGCAGTGGGAGCAAACGCTGTGCAGTGGGGTAGCAGGAGCCATCACTACATGGTGGGAGAGGTCAGTGCAGTGGTCACTGCTTGGGAGCAGTCGCTGCGTGGCCAGCATGGTCAGTGTGCAGCAGGTGAGGGCAGTGGAGTGGTCAGTGCAGAGATCAGTGCAGTGGTCAGTGCAGTGGTCAGTGCAATGGTCAGTGCAGTGGTCAGTGCAGAGGTCAGTGCAGTGGTCAGTGCAGAGGTCAGTGCAGTGGTCAGTGCAGAGGTCAGTGCAGAGGTCAGTGCAGAGGTCAGTGCAATGGTCAGTGCAGAGGTCAGTGCAGAGGTCAGTGCAGAGGTCAGTGCAATGGTCAGTGCAGAGGTCAGTGCAGTGGTCAGTGCAATGGTCAGTGCAATGGTCAGTGCAGAGGTCAGTGCAATGGTCAGTGCAATGGTCAGTGCAGAGGTCAGTGCAATGGTCAGTGCAGAGGTCAGTGCAATGGTCAGTGCAATGGTCAGTGCAGAGGTCAGTGCAGAGGTCAGTGCAGTGGTCAGTGTCCGGCCCGCCCCTCTGCGTGTTTCTGGTTGTTCCACCGCCCGCCCGCCCTGTGAGACTCCAGAGGCAGCCGGGACCGGGACAGGAACCAGGACAGGAACCAGGACGGGGATGGTGCCAGGGCCGCTTTATTTATCGCAGCTGGAGCTGCTGGCAGGGCCTGCCCGGGGTGGTGCCCGGCGGGGCAGCGCTGCCTGCGGGGAGCGGGCGGTTCCTCCAGCTGTGGCTCCTCCAGCTGTGGTTCCTCCAGCTGTGGCTCCTCCAGCTGTGGCTCCTCCAGCTGTGGTTCTTTCAGCAGCGGCTCCTCCAGCAGTGGCTCCGTGCCGCCCCCACCGTGAGCGGCCCCAGCAGCATCAGCAGCATCAGGAGCAGGAGCGCGGCCGCCAGCGCCAGGCGCACGGCGTTGCACAGCGTGTAATCTGCAGGGACACAGGGCACCGTCACTGGGGAGCCACCCACCGGGAGATCCCAGCCCTCCCGTGGGGACAGCAGGGGATCCAAGGGGACACACAGGGCAAGGGGACACCCCAGGGAGATCCTGGGCTAAAGAGACGCGAAGGGAAGTTCATAGGGAGCAAAGGGAGCCCCGAGGGGACCCCCAGCTGCACAATCCATATCCCTGTCCTCTGGAGCACCCCCTACTCAGCCGCTCACCTGTGACCCCACCCTTTGGTGGTACCAAAGGTGGGAAGGAGGGAAGAAACATGGAGCTGGCCCTCAGATGCCACTGCCAGTGAAATTGTGACACTGAGCTGTGACAAGATATATGATTGTCCCTGGGGCTGGGAGGTGCAGGGAGAGGTGTCCTTTGACTCTTGGACCTGTCAGCCCAGCAACTCTGTATCTGTAGGGTCTCTAGGTCATCTGTAGGGTCTCTGAGGAGCTGGCCAGGCTCAAACACAGCTGAAGGAAGCTGTAATCCTCTGCTTCGACCCCTCTTAGAGCTTCTTTCCTGTCCTAAATCTTCTTTTCTAGTTCCCCCAGAACGTAGAGTAGGATTGAGGCTGGATGTCTCACCTCTCACCACCAAGTCCAGGGTGTTGCTGACAGCAGACCATTCTCTGGAAGCATTGATGGTGTAGCACTGGCAGCTGTAGCGGCCGCTGTCACCGTTCTGCACGTGGGAGAGGTTGTAGTCACCTCGTTCCCTTGACAGTAGCTGGGCTCGGATCTGCCCCTCCAGGTACAGGTAACAGCTGGTGCTGGGGTGTGTGGAGCTGCAGCGGAACATCACATCAGCTCCTGCAATCACCTCGTGGCCAGGCAGGACAGAGAGGTGGGGTCTGGGGAGATGGAGCTCTGTGGGGACAGGAGAGGGAATGAGAAGGTGCAGAGAGCTTTGATGTGGTGCCAGGAGCTCCAGCATCTCTGTGAAGCCACCAGCTGGCTCAGGCAGAAGTGAAGATGGTCCCCACCTCTCCAAGCCAGGGAAGAGGAGGAAGAACCCTGCCCATCATGGAAATGGCTATGGGCATCTTGGTGTGCTCTGGGGCATGTGACCCCATAAGAGGGGGAAACATCTCTCTCACCTTCCACAAAGACCTCCAGTTCATCACTTCGAGCCAGCACAGTGCTTCCCTGCAGGTAATGGCAGTTGTAGGTACCGCTGTCCTGGGAGGTGGCGTTAGAGATGGAGAACTCAGCCCTGCTGCCACTCTGGGTATGGAGCCGGTGGCTGCCCTTGTACAGCACGAAGCTCCCAGAGCTGTGCTGGCAAATGCAGCAGATGGTGGTGGAGCCTCCTAGTGGGATCACCCCAGGTGGCTTCAGGAAGATGGAGATTGTGGGGGCACCTGCACAGGGAGAGAGGTGCTGCCAGACAGGCAGGGAGCCCCCAGCAGCTGCCCTGCCGTGAGCCCAGGGCTGCCATCAGGCCCTGTCTCCACATAAGGGTGAGTTTTGTTCCAGAGGGCTGTGGAAAAGCCCTGAGAGATAGGTGGGCCCAGAAATGTGTCCAAACTCCCCATCTATCTCCTCAAGATACTCACTCAGTGTAGCCTCGCTCTGTGCCACCAGCCAAGCGCCTGCAAGAGAAGCAGCTGTGTAACATCTCTGTGGAGTGTCTGGACACCTCCTGTCGCCCTCTAGGAACTCCCACAGCCTCTGGCACTCACCGAAGGCCAGCACATGAGTCACAGGCAGCATCACGTCCCTCTTGGCTCCCTCTGTATTCGGCTCAAGCAGGGCTTCTTCAGAGGAAGGCTTTGGCCAGAGGCACTGAGCAGCTGGGTGGCTTCTTGTGGCTCCTGATGCGACCTCGTTACCACCTGCTGTCCACCACAGCCACCTTCTGTCCCAGGGCTTGGGTTTCTGCAGCACGACTGCAGGGCTGCAATGGTTGAACTGGAACTACAATGTCCCTGTCACATGCCCAGGGCTGGGCCCCTGTGATGACTTAGGATCCTGCAGGCCTTGGGGGAAAGGCTATCAGGCCTTTTCTTTCTCTTTCTTAGATCCGGTCACTTGATGGGGAAATGGCTTCTTCTCTGCCTTATGAAATAGAGGGTTGTTTTGCAACCACAAACCCACAAGTTTGCTGGCTCGACAGAAAGAAATAGGAGGTAATGAACTTGACTTCCTTTTTCACCTTTTCAGGGGCAGTTGTATCTTCCTGGCCTACAGTGTCTTTCATTGCAGAAGGAACAGCAAACCTGCAGGTTTGGGTGCACCCCACAGGATTGGTCCCACTCCTCATCCATCCACATCCCCCAGTCCCACACTGCAGCAGCCAATGGTCCTTACTCCAGACAGCTGCTCCCTTCCACCCCACACCTGGAGCCAGGTGCACCTCAACTGCATCTTCTCTGGGTGATGTAGACAGAGCTCCCTTTGGCAATAATGAGGGGTGAATGAAACCGGGCAAGTGCGTGTGGGAGAAGGGAACAAATGGATTCTGGCACTGGGGCTGTGCGGGACCTGGGGTAGCTTGTCCAGGGTCCTTCTCTGAAGGTGGCAGTGTTTGTAGCTCCGTGCCCTCCTGTGAGCTGCAGGCAGCACATCCTGTCCCCTTTGTGTCTGCAACCTCTGCCACAACTGGGCCTTGCAGGAAAAACAGGGAAGGCTCAGGGCTGGGTAGCGGTGGGGGTTGTATGGGTGTAAATCAGGGGAAAAAGGCAAAGCTGGACTTCTTCCAGACCCTTTCTACCCTTTTCTTTCTTCCCCCTTCTGACCTTTATGGTCTCCCTTGGATATTCCATGGGAAAGAAGTTTTGGCAGCAGGGTGCCCTAAGGCCTTTTCCTGTTCTGGGCACCTCCTCTGGCCCTCTCTCCTGTCTAACCTCCCCCAGCCTCAGCTGATTTTGGCACTGATGCCTTAGTATTTTAGCTTTTATATTTTTCATATATTTGTAAGCCTACACTTGTTTAGTGTATAACCCTAAACTCCATATAGATTGCTAGCTACTGCTTTCCTATTTTAGTCAGATAAAACAATTCCTCTCCAGACCTGGGAATCAAGGACACCTCACTATCTCAGACCCCAAGAAAAGTAAACAAAAGTGA